ATTGGGGGTTGTTCACCCATCGTTCATTCCCAGCCTCACTGAGGTGTGTTATATGTGAAGTGGTTGGTTTGGATGGGATTGGGGTTGTTCACCCATCGTTCATTCCCAGCCGCACTGAGGTGTGTTGTATGTGAAGTGGTTGGTTTGGGTAGGGTTGGGGTTGTCCACCCATCGTTCATTCTCAGCCGCACTAAGGTGTGTTGTATGTGACGTGGTTGGTTTGGGTGGAATTGGGGGTTGTCCACCAATCGTTTGGCTGTGCTACATTACCATATATATATATATATATATATATATATGTATGTACAACAGTGGGTCAATTCGACATCACAACATCAAACAAAGCTCGCACTCAATACATCTCACTTCACATAGATAGCATACAGAGTACAAAGCTGGTCTACTCGATAAACATGTAATTATGTCTTTCACACGTATACGTATACACAGACATGTAAATAGATGGTCTTCTTTGGTAGTACACACATACTGATGGTCACGTTAACCCACGCAGCGACATAAAGGAAGATGTTGTATGCTTCGCCAAAGTCCACTTCGGATACGACGCCAACTTAACAGCCACCTTTCAGGGCACCACGACAACTGCTAAGCTGCAGCACACTAAGCGAGTACAACACAATCCGTACTACCAGAACAACATAGACGTCGCTACGAAGATTCTTCCCAGGTGTGTGAGACATGTATAGATAAGTAGATATTACAACGCACAAGGTGCAGAATAACCTCACTTTAGATATACATATACGTGTGTGCCTGATTTATATATATATATATATATGTGTGTGTGTGTGTGTGCATTTCTATAAGAGCTACTTTTGAGATCAACGGGTCATATCTACCATGCACTATGCTCAGCTGTATGTGAAGATGTTTAGGTGTGTGCGTGGTAATGTTCCGTGAAGTATGTTATGGGACTATCACTGCGAAGTTGTACTATGATACAGTCCCTACTACTAGAACAGCATACAAATTACTAGGCTGAGTCATATATATATAGATATATATATATATATATATATTAACTATACAGATTAGCCAGCCCTAGCTATCAGGCGTAGCTCATGTGCGTATGTGCTGATGTAAGTCACTTAGCACCAGTCAAAGGAAGTAACTAGCGTTCGGGTACACGAATCATTTTACACTCAAGAAGCTCATACGAGTGCAATTCGTCCCGTACTAGATATCAGGAGCGTCTAGTGAATAGATACCGAATCCAGGACATTCCCATGCAAAGAAATAGGTGTCTGCTGGTAACCCGTCGCGCTGGTCGCAGAGACAACGAAGTCTACCGCCGTATCTTGAACGAAGTAAGCGTTGTAGTACAACTCTTTTGTTGTTTTATACACAAAATCGAGTAGGAGGAAGCTTGTGTATGTATAGATGTATGCATGTATCGTATGCACAGAGATAAGTTTTTAAGAATGGATCTATTGTTGCTTTGTATACAAATCTAGTAGACGGAAACCTATGTATGTATAGATATATACATGCATCGTATACGACACATGTGCTCGGATGTATAGTGTATCTGGTGTGCATTATATATACAAGTCTCTCTATACTTTTGACTGGCGTATGCACACCACCCCTCACATATCTGCCATCACTTCTACCTCACACGAAAGGTCGATGTTGTTCGATTGCTTGAGGACGCCGGTTTAGAAGTGGACATGGTTGACTTTCAGACTATCAGCGACTATGAACAGGTAAAGCATGTCTGAGTGTGTGCGTAACATGTCTGGACGTCTGTGCAAATAAACACAGAACATTTAGTCGATCAGTTATTAAAAGTTATTAATTTCTCAAGTACATACACACCAAAATTACATTAGAAGACCAATCCAGCATAGTAGCATCGCGAGAGTGTTTAGTATGGAATACACATCCACGGGACATGGATGGATGATGATCATCCCCGAATTAATACGGCCCGTGTTATGTTTTACTTTTAATTTGGTAGGTCCTGAACTAACACTTGTCATATCCCAATCCAGATCATACGCACGCGCATGGCTGGTGTGTTTGTGGCTATGCATGGTGCAGGAATGTCCAACACCATGTGGTTGCACCCACAGGCTGTCGTGATTGAGCTGCAGACATACGGGTTCCAGAAATGGGGCTACCGCAACTTTCTACGCGCGATGGGAATACACTATGAATATTGGGTGAACACCCACACGGCGAATGCGGTACATACGTACAAATCACTCGCCTCGGAAGGGAGCTACGACTTCTACAGGTGTGGGCGTATCGCGTAAAGCCTTGGGACCAGAAAATTGGGTCGTTCGGTTGATTCGTATGTGGATGCGTCACGGGGGTGCTACCAAACCCTCACGCGCGTAGTTCAGAATTGGATACCTTGATTTAGACTTCTATCCGATTTGATCCCATAGGCACCGTTGTATTTTGATGGTGGATGGGTCGGGCATTGGGACATGAGTCTAAATGTGGTAGATATATAAGTCAAGTAATGTTCGTATAAGTATAAGTGTACATACTCCAGAGATACATGCAAACGATGTTCCCGAATTCATAGCGTGCAGTACATGAACATATGCACTTTACTCGCTGAAGGAGGTACAACTGTTTGATGTATTAGAGGGCCTACACGCACCTACGTTAGTCATTTCTGAGTGTGATAGCATTGATTGAGATATTTCATATGCCAAACATTGAATAATGGGATATTATGTTTGAAAAGTGGCTTTGTACAATGAACATTATTGCGATTCAAGAATTTACCTGTTTCTAATCTGAGCGATCTCGTCTCACATATTTGCAACTACACAAGAGCTACAGAGCGTTTTCACTTAAATAGTTGCGTAGGTGATTTGTCTTTCTATTCGTATCGATAACGTTCGCTGTAAAAACTTATTTTCTCATTTTGCTTGACGTTTCAAATTTGGGCTGAATAAGGCTTTGTCCTTTTGCTTCACGGATTGCATGATTCGCCATCAATCCGTTAGAGGTTGCACATTTTTCATTTCTTTTAACGTAGATGTTTGACGTATAAAAGGTAATGAACCCCATGTCTTTATCTGCACGGGAGTAATCTCCAAGTTGAAATACCACAGTTCAAGTTTCTAATCTTTCACTCGCTACTATTGCTTTGGCTCGATCACTATCTGCCGAACCACACCAGGGGAAGGGACCAAATTGTCGATATCAAGGAACTACGGTATGTGCTCAATGTAGCACTGCACCCGCGCGAACCCTCAGACCAGCAGTTGTACCTATTGTACCTGCTGAAGTATGCTGCAGGGTTCGGTTGCGGCCTGCTTCTGTGCTACCTTATTTTGCAGGTTTGTACCCAATTATGGGTGTGGCAGGGGCCAAAAAGGAGACCTATCAAAACCGCGTTTCAGAAGGTCAGACCAGATTGAGTGAGAAATTTGAAAATATGCTAACGTGATTAGAATAGGTAATAACGAATTGCTAATTCATTTCCCAGATCAAGATGAACCATTGGAATAGATAGTTTTCATCTGGCCTCTCGAGTATCACACTTGGATGTAACCCTTGTCGATTTGCCCACATTACGATACGTCGACAATGTAGAATATAATATTCGCTACCGTCTCTGATGCATTGTGTTGGTTGTGTGTAACACCACAATACGTTTGGAAGGCCACCCATCTCTGTGTTATCTATGTATCATGCGCAAACAGACAAGATAACGGCTTGCTGCACTCGGCACTTCGGCAGCGTATTACTATTGTGGACCACCGGCCACTGGGCCACGGCAAAAACCACAGAGTTCTAAATTACACAAAGAAGGCTATGTAAAAAAGGTTGAATACGGCATGGTCCTCAGACCTCAGGAAATGTCGCTGGAACTGAAGAATGTTGCAGCCTTCAGCTGATGACTCAGCTCTGATCTTTTGAATGCCAACTCTAGCCAACCAAATTAAACTCACAGTTGACCGTCGACGTGTCTTTTTCAGGTGATTCTGATCTTTTGAATGCCAACTCTAGCCAACCAAATTAAATTCACAGTTGACCGTCGACGTGTCTTTTTCAGGTGATCTAAAAAAAATGAGCCATTTTCGTGAAAGTCCAGTAAAAACAAAGCACACGCGTTGGAAAAACTGTAAACAACACTTCTGACTTCACAAGTTCACATGTTTTTTTAGAAGGCTATGCTTCAACATGTGGAAAATGCCAAATGTGGCATAGCATTGATCAAACAATCTAGCCTTTTTTTTTTAATGCTTGGGCTAGGTCGCTATGATAACTGATATGTAAATAAATAACTCCGTCAATATACACAAGAGAAGTACATTTGTTTCTTATAAAAAAATGAAAATAAACCTCGATTGTTTTTTTTTGATACACGTATCATGTATACTATTTAAAATAAAATAATAAGTTCAAACTATGGGTTTTTTCTTTAAGCTAAAAGTAAATATAGGGGGTTTTATTGTGTATTTACAAAGAGTGATCCAGGGGTGGAGTCGGGGACCAGCCGACCAGCCGACCAGGCCTCGTTAGTCGTTACTTTGTACATATTGTATTATTCCATTTTTAACGCTAACGTTATCTTTTCTGTACCTTGAATTTTTCAAGGTGACTAATATACCGGCCGGGGCCCGGCTGACAATCAGACACCGAGATCCGAGTCTTGTCGACCAGCAGACTGCAACATTACGTTTTGATTTTGTTAACGGTTATTTTATTTTTATTTGTATTTAAAAACGTCTTTTGTAGAAGCCTTCTGATTGGTTTAAATGTGTATCAGATAGAGACTGGCCAGTGGCCCCCCGCTGCTGGGCCTCGCTCTCCGTGACTCTTGTCTCTCTGTCTCTCTGTCTCTCTGTCTCTCTATCTCTAGGCCTAGAGTAGAGAGTAGCTAGACTGCTAGTCGGTCATATGAGTTATCCTCCGTGGAGTCGTGGACCGTGGGGCGTGCCGCCTAGCCCTAAATATTTATATATATATATATGTACGGTACTGTATATGTATTTATATTATAACAAACAAAACAAAAATAAACAAAAAAAGTTCAGCCCTGCCCCTTTGGGATTTGGGCCTTGGCCTTTGCCTTTACTCCCTTTAGCCTTTAGCCTTTATGGCTTACGTCCGGCTAACCGTTATGTGGAGGCCCCTGCAGGACTTCCAGGCCTGGGGCTGGGTGCCTGTGACTGGGGGTCATATGTACGGAAATAATTTTTTACTTTTTTTATAGTAAATATGACCAATGATCCATTCAGTCATTCACCATAAATACATACCTATTTAAAAAAAACTGTTTTTAAATTTGAACTTTTGAAGGCTATTTTTTTTTAAATAATAAAAAGCTGGCTAGGCCGCTATATTCTGTCATCACCACGTGGTGTTGTTTGTTTGTTTTTGTTTTTTTATAAAAACCCTAAAATTTAAGATGTTCATTGTTGTCAAGCATCTCTGCTCCAAAAAAAAAAGCTTCGTCATCGCTCCTTGCCCCGGCATTCCAGGGGTTTACATACACAATTCTAAAAATAACATAGATATGTACATATTTGTTTAAAAAAAATATCTAGTAGCAACTGTGTAAGTTTCGAGTTGCAAAGTGTTTATTTATTTTTTATTTGTATTTACAGTATATTTAACATATATTCAACATGTGATAATGAGAGTAAAAATAATGTAGAGAAGGCTAAAGTTGCAACGATGTATTAATTTGTATATAAAATGGGGAAATATTCGCATGACTTATCAAAAAACAACACCCCAAAGGCAACAATAGCAACTTCTAAGGTGCTCAGTACATTAATCATCGCTGTTGTCGTATGCACTGCTATTGTATCTGCAAGCTCGGTCACAAGGTCAGGAGTAAAAGAACTGAACAACTTGGAGTTTACAGGCATGGGGACCCAAAGATGAAATTAAGGAGGACGAATACATGGTAGATGTGGACATGTTTGGGACGAGCGAAAATAATATCAAGACCCTTGTCGATGCTGGCCATTATGTTGTATGCTATATCGATTTGGGAACGGCCGAGGATTGGAGACCAGACTATGATCAGTTGGTTAAGTACTGTCCCGAAGACTCAGCTTATTCTGATGAAAGATGGCTAGATATCACGCAATGGGAATTTGCGCCTATTATGGACGATAGACTGCAGGAAGCTAAGGACAAGGGATATATGGGTCTAGAATACGACAACATTGATTGCGAGAGTTATGGTGCCAATTGCGTGCCTGGTGAGAGCATCTCGTCTTTAAAACCATATGAGATTGCCTACTTGACTTATTTGGCCGACAAAGCGCACGATTTGGGAATGTCAGTTGGGATGAAGAATGCGGTTGACTTGATCACAACCATTGGCGACAAGTTTGATTGGGCAATCAATGAGAGCTGTGCAGCTTACAACGAATGTGGACTATATGAACCCTTCAAGCAAGCCAATAAAGCTGTATTTGGTGTCGAGTACGATGATGGAAGCAAAGACTGCAGCAGTGAACAGAAGGACGGGATTGTAATGAAGTACGAAGAAAATGAGGAATGGCACAACTGTTCAAACTAGGTCTATAAATTCAAACTATTCTATTAAACTATGGACTATGTTAGCATCGTTTGTTAAAGACAGATTTTCCTTTAGCATATTATTGAGAATATCAGACTTATTTGCAAATTAATGTCAAGCTTGCTTAGTTGTTTTCAAGTATTGTGAACGTTAACAAAGTCCGAACCAACTCGAATAAATATGTCATTTTATAAGCATACTTGTGCGTTACAGTTTTGGCCGATAATGTACTGAAAATAGATCTTTTTAGTATTCGTGTACTCAATACTGCATTCAATGGGATATTGACAGATGGAAGATTGTATAATTACGCCCGTAAAGAAGTCTTAAGTTTGTAATTGTGCGTAGCTATAAGCAGGTACCATTCCGAATTTGCCCCTTTTTGCCACCCTTGGTGAGTGAATAGTCGTACAGCCTCCTATCGATTTTCGAATCATTTACTATAAAGTATATACATTCGGAAGCGTTTGTTTATCAGAGATATACAGTAAATGTTCGTGAATGGAGTGAGATAAATTGGCCAGTCGATATGCAAAGAAAACGACCGTGACAGGCATACTATTGTATGTACGTTGGGACACAGCGCAGTCATAATTTTACCAATCGTCAGGTCAGATATAAATCTACAACTACACGTCAATCAGGGACCGTGAGCTCGTATTAATAGGTACGTGGTCATTTGTGAGTCTATAAGATGTAGTGAGTCGACGGAATAAAGGGCAGCACATGAAAAATCATATCTACAAACGCAGTTCGATGTAAATGCGTGCTTGTTGTTGCGCACTGGCACTTTGGCAGTATTAGAGTACCATTTTTAGACATTCTCGCTTGCCGTTCTGGTTTAAAATGTTTTTATCTTTTTCACAGAGGCTGGACCGCCGGAGGCGGCGACCGGCAGAGACCATTTTATTTTTTACAAAAATATGATATAAATAGGGCTATTAGGCCCTCTATAAATATTATATTTTTAAACACCAAAAAAAAATTTGTGTTTCAGTTTATTGTACAGTGCTGTATGCCTTCACTGTGGCATTGCTCATGTTTCTCTGTTAGTCGGATTTCGCACTGTTTGTGACAGTGTACTGATTTAACTGGCTGGGCGACGGAACATAAATGAGATTTCAGGTGGTGATGATTGTAAAGTGATTTATATCATCCGTTCAAAGGTTTCCGTAGTTGTGTTTAGTGTCAAGAATACCAATATTTTGCCGGATAACTCGATTTTAAACTTAGAACACTGAAACTGTAAAATTTTGGAACGACTGTTTACCCCACGTCAGTGACCTACATACAAAGCAAACGACATTGGCACCGTCAACCGTCTTATGTTAGCATAAATAATTATAAATAGACACTGGATATGTCTTGCTTCGGGCGAAATACGTGTACGGACGTCAATACCACCGTACTGGATTTAGCTCTGACTCTATACCTCACACACAAGTCGAAACGACATTGCTTGTACTATCTAGTGGAGTATCACAGGATTGCACCTTGGTCTGGAATTCTCTTGTTTGATGCATTTATTTTCATGAAATGCATTATTGTTTATATAGTTTACTATTATACATTGCGCTTAATAATAAAACGGCAACAATATTTTGATAGGCGTTGCTAAAACCTAAGGCGGCGAATTCTCAGCGTCGTACATGCAGTAAAAGCAATCAGAATCGCTAATAATTTGATGTGCGAGTCAACAGTAGCTTGACCATGGATGCCTGATCATACCTGGATACCTATGATGGAATTGGAATGTACACTGTAATAATCGGGGATACTGATCATGTCTATACCCCTGTTCCTCTAAACCCAAATTTCACACGCTAGTTGTCTGCACAACTTGTTATTCTGAAGCGCCGCCTTCCTTAGATGAAGACTCGGCCAGGAGTATTTCATCGATGTAGCTTCACCATTGAGCTACATGTACAGGAACATACGGCTTGATATGATTATATCTCGCGCAAGAACTTTCTCATAAACACTTTCCATACACGACCGATTGCTTGTGCAAACACCTCGAGGTGGACACTTGCCGTTTCTCGCACGTTGGTCATTTTGTGAGGGCTTTGCCTCATCATCGTGTATACATTGCGCACGTCGATATAGTAGTTGCAAGCTCAACCACAGACATGTGCTCTGCCGGTCTAGGGTGAGTCAGTTCTCGCCGCCCTAACTGACAAAAGAGGCTGATAAGTGATGTGTTGTGTGCTGGTAGCACCGCTAATGTAGGAGCAGAAGGAGCCTCTTGCATATGATTGGTACACATGGTCACTCACGATTAAGAATTGAGGTGTCACACCGAGAGCCCAACTACACACCACCATCCCCGACTATATGACCCCTCTGACCATTAATCCCCTGGCCTGTGACGATATCCACATCTACACAATCATTCATCGCGCTCGGCTGTGTGCTCGCACCAACACCATTTACCTCCGTATTCCGTTTCCTCCTATAGTAAAACACGCCCAACAGAACACCAGAGATCAGCGCAGCACCCCCAGCACTTGCTCCAATGATAAGCATCTCACTGGATTCACTTGTACCACTATCCGCGGCTGTGAACGCGGTACTTGGGGTATTATTGACTGTGGCCGAGTCTGAACTGGATGATTCGAAGGACTCGTCATTCAAAGTCTGAGAAAATGATAGGGTAAAGATTTAGATAATTCTCATGGATGTCCATTGGCAACTTGATATGATTCGAGAAAGAACTGGTGCTACCGTGTATCAGGCTAATGTTGCGGTGCGAAACATAATTCGATAATCCAATATACTAGGCTCGCTCTGGTATTTACTTTCACTTTAGTCGGGAAGGAGGGGCCGAAGAAGGACAAGCGTATATGAGTGTAAGACACGGCACATGACGTCCATGTCGACACACATGCCTCGGAAGGCTAACATTTAATAGATATACAAATAAACAGCCATATATAATATAATATAATATTATATATATATATATATATACTTACCGCCTGGATGAACGAAGTGTAGGCAGAGAGTCTCACATAGACGCCTGGGAACCTGGAATTTGCACACCCCGATCCGAAGCTCGTGATACCAATTTGTATTCCGTCAACTAAGATTGGACCGCCACTGTCTCCCCTGGTATACAAAATGAGAATCGTTGAATATCAGCAAAGAAACGACGCAATATTACAAAAGTTGGACTAGAAAATCTCATACATGAACTGTAAACTCCAAACGCGTTTGGAGGTGATCAGAATGCTGCAAGTGAATGAGTGCCGAAGCAAATATCAAGTTAATAATAATATATAATGAAAATAAACACAATATATATATATATATCAATATAAATATTAATTTCACATATATATATCAATATTGACATCAATAAGATATATATGGTGTTGATATACATATATATATATATAAATGTATGTATTTACATATATATACATATACATACGTATACACATACACACACATACATACATACATAAATGAAAACATACATTTATACATACATACATACATGCAGACATACATATATAATAAAAACCTGTGTACATAGTAAACTATTATTATTACCTGCATGAATCCATGCCTCCACCGTAGTATATACCGGCACAGAACATCCTCTCCTCTACCAGACCTGGGTACGACCGTTCACACAGTTTATCCGAGATGATTGGAACCTGTATCTCCTGCAATGTGCTAGAGCCACGACTACTGTCGGCGATGGTTGTACCCCAGCCGATAATTGATGTGGTCGTCCCATCAGCTTCTAATTCTGAATTGTCTGTGAGGACCAGGAATGAGGCAACATGAAAGGTGGATATTCGATTGAAGCGTGGCAACGTTACATTGAAACATGGATAGTCCACCGATAAGGACACACATGATTTGACTAGGATTGAATTGCCTTTGGACTATTTTTACTGTAATGAAGTATTACAGAACCCTAGCCAATAAGACAATCAGCTTAAACCAAAACGCAGCTCAGGAACGATGTTTTTTTTGCCCGTTGATAACTTCAAGATTAGCTCCCAATAATATGGCGGATACACGAATCTCGAGACACGTACAAGATCACAAGTACACTGCACACCATACACGTCCAGTGAGATATTATACACACACACCTATAGTGGCCATTTGAATCGGTGTCCGATTCGTAATAGGGCGGCTGAGCGTCAATACAGCGACATCGAAATCGTAGGTATCTTCGTCGAAGTCGGGATGCCAAACACCTTTGATGACAGTGGCAATTTCAAACTCATCACTGTTGTATATATTCGTGCCTCCTATATACGCTAGCACGCGTCCTTCCGTGAACGCAGTGTACACCTAGTAATACAATGCGAAATAGAAAGGAATTGAGTATAAGCGTGTTTTCGTATATAAATAACTTAAATAAATATTGGCAAACAGACCCTACATACAAATAAAGACAGCAGTATACATAATGATGACATACATACATATACCTATACAATATATATATATATATACATATATATATATATATACAAACGTACATACATAAATACATATACACACACACATATATATATATATATATATAAGTTGAATACATTTGACACACATATATATAAGTTTGAATACATTTGACATATGTATATGAATATGTATATATGTAAATAATGTATGTACATATATGATATATATATATGGATATACACACACATATATATATATATAAACTATAACGCACACACACACATATATATATATATATATATGTGTGTGTGTGTGTGTGTTTGTGTGTATAATTTATATATGTATATGTATATGTATATATGTAAATCTGTATGTACATGTATGATATTATATATATATATATGTGTGTGTGTGTATAAATGCTTATGTGTTTATATATATGTATGATATACTATATTTATACATATATATATATATATGCATATATGTATACATATATATATATATATGTATATATATATATGTATACATATACATATATATGTATATATGTATATATAAGTGTGTTATAATTTATATATGTAAAGTATAAGTATATGTATGATATATAAATATAAATATAAATATATATATTTATATATATATAAATTGCTTTCAAGTCTCAAAATCAATCATACAGCCATAAGCCAATGCGTTCAAGCACCGCAGGCTGTCCACACTCTATGTGAGGCACCTTCAAAGCAACTAGTTTGCAATTTTGCGATATGAGAGAACAATTTTACAGTTCTGATATGCTAACACGGCTAATAAATAGACTTTTCAAGATACAGAGTCCAATCACCATAAAAGGACTCGTTCAGATATATTGCGCGTACTTCTGCTAAAAGCATAAGCAGACGTACATACTGACATAGATTTGTGACAACATACGGATTGTTGCTCAGCCACGCAGTGTGCTGCAGTTAGAAGATGCGTCGAATCGATCAGAGTAGCACCGCAGATAACATTGCCGCCGTCAACTCTGTAGTGGAAGAGAATAATACTTAGGCGCGAGTCCAAAACATCATGGACAAAAGGTAGTATAGTCTTGTAGATAAATGTATCTCCGACGATATCTTCGGAATGAAATCATTTAGAAAGTAATTCACACACGACCGTATTAATAAGGCCACCCCCGGCATGTGCGATATGTAACACGATCATGATATTTGTATTGCACACACGTGTGGCAAACAGCCTGAGTAGCACGAAAACTTGCTCACTGACACGGTAAAATAAATTTTCTTTGCCGAGCTCTGTATACTCCGGTGGCCATATCCACATAACCATTTCCAAAAGCCTTACTATCATGAAAAAGTGTATATATCGGTCAATTTCTATAATCATGGTTGCTAGCATCGGTGTACAACAACAGTGCAGTTTGCGCTGTTACGAAGTCTATTATATCCTAGATAAAGCTCGCGTCAAGCACCATTTATATCGAACACATGTCATGTTGCAGTGCTTCTCGTTGGAATCGCAGTACGCTCGAATCGTGTCTGTTGATGTACATGTCCTTATACATCTAACACGTATACTTAAAGCACCCGAGGAACCCATATCATCGTTCACAATATTGTGCTCGGCAAAGATCTTCCGGAGTATACGGTTTCTAACGAGAAAAACACAGACGCGCGCAACGACTATGTAGCTAGGTTACGAGCATGGTTTATCAGGTACTAACATTCCGATTATGAGTCACAGTAATGCAGTGTTAAAATGATGGGTCGTACACAGCTGAGCATAGTATCATTTTTTAAGATGTAATTAAATGCCTGACTGTGGAAGCCAATGAATTCAGTTGCTTTCAAGCCGTCTGAGATGAAAGTACCTGAGTGCGGCCATCCATGATTGACCAGCCACATCCACACCCCCTATTATCTTTGAGCTGATTGTAGCTTCCGCGTTCACAGTGCAGGCCAGCGCCGCAAGTAGAAGTGCCACCACCATATTACAATAGACTATCAGACACTATGCAGCCCGTTTCTTCACTTGTTTTAACGTGGCGTAGTAGGATTGTAGTGTGTCTGTGCGCATCGTGGTATACAGCTTATATTTCACAGTGCTATCGTGTTTACAAGAAGCAATATTTACTTCAGTTGGTGCAGTCTGTCAATAATACGGGACTACAGCCTACACAGGTGTAGTTACGTCTCTACTGAGGGCGTAGGCACCAGGGGCACCAGGCAGCATTTGATCATCGAAATTTAGATGATTTTCAGGAAAAAAACAATAAAAATTTCAACCCGAAATCGACCGCAGTCGAGAGAAAAAAAACTATCACGCTAAAAAATAAAAGTTTAAAGCTGATAAAATAATGGTCCTCTTTTCAGACCCCAGAGTGGCCACTGGTCCTCTGAGGCACCGACTTTGGACTCTGGAGTTTGGGGCGTTGGCCCTGGGGGCTGGGGCTGGACCACTGGGGTGTTACCGACAACAACTCCGATTTAGGTCTGCACGACTCTGGGCGGCTGGGCCTGCTGGGCTCTGAGGTTATCTCAGTTCTTAATTATTTTTTTTGCAAATATGGATTTATTTTCTTCCAGACTCCAGACCCGCAGATATCACGCATTTGCATTTATCACAAAAATATAGAAAACTGTGTGCTGACTTGCTGTCTTCTTGCTGGGGGGGGGGTGTGCTGGGGTGCTGGCTGCCTGGCGCCTGCGCCTTTCAAGTTCTAGGTTTCAAGTTTTAGCAGCGGTCAGCGGATGGCACTCATCACTCATCAGTGACAGCCTGACAAATGACAGGCACGGTTGAGGTGTGCGTGACTGTGTGTCCGGGGGCTGGGACGCTGAGTCTGGGGGGCTCTCTCTCTCTAGTGTGTAGGGGGGCTTGGGCACCTTGGGAGTTGGGGCGTCTTGGGGCAGGTTGACAGCAGTCTTGTCTCGGTCTCTGTAGGCTGTACATACTGATGTCCCAAATCTAGTTTTATTTTATTTAAAAAATAAAATGATGTGTCGGCCCGCCCTCGTGTCAGTCCGGGTCCTCTCAGGGGGGGCACTCGTTAGGCTGACAGTGGGACTGGGGCTTCTCTATTTACTCTCTACAGTTTACTACACAAAATAAATAGTAGTCGAGACTGGAGAGAGAGACCAGAGAGAAGGGGCAGACACTTGGCTATGAATGGGGGCCACCCCACGCTCCAAAGTGTTTTTCTATTTGTAAAATGCACAACTACACACTAATCACTATTCAGCATTCCAGCTGATACATACATACATAAATAGTGGCAGACTGTGGGAGTCGCAAATCACTCGCAATCTGTCTGACTCTGTTGTATGCATAGAAGCGATGATAGGCGGCAGAGTTTTTGGGGGGGGTTTAAAAAACACAAACACTAAAACAGCCAAACACAGCCACACAGGCTAACTCTCAGTCAGTCCTCATTTACTCAATAGATATACAGTAATTGTAGTGATTGGGTTGTTTTAAATTCCTCAATTCTATTGGATATCTCTAAATCCGTTGCTGCATTGACCGATATAAAAAAATTATTCAATGCTTCGGAGACTCGGTGACTCGGGGTTGGAAGATTGTATATTCTAGGCTTTTCTATTTTTGTTTTTGGATTGTTTTTTTTGGAACAAAAAGTAAAAAAACCACCAATCGGCTTCTCAACAACTCTCAGACTCAAAGTTGTGTCACTGTCAGTGGGACGAGGGTCAGTGGACTGTGGCCTCACAAGTTCACACTTACAGTGACACAGCCTCATCAGGTTTCCCCAGAGTCCAGACTCCAGAGACTTTGATTTGCCTGTAGCAATCTTTTACGACTAAAAACCTTGATGGCTAACAACAGTTCAATTTGAAGGCTATGAAATGCTAAAAGTAAAACCCATCTTATGCCCAAATTTTATGACTAAAAATCCCTTACGACTAAAATTATGACTAAATGGCAAAAAGCTTATCGCTTTGATCTTTTGAATTTATGAAGTCTAACTTTTAAATATTTTTTTGCCAAACACTAAGACTAAATGCATCTTATGCCTAACAACTAAGACTAACTACATCTTAAACCTAACAACTAAGATTAATACTTAAGCCTATCAACTATGACTAAATACATCTTAAGTCTAACACCTAAGCCTAAATATTTCTTAAGAAATATTCTCACGTGTATTATATTTCAAAAGGATATAATGAAGCGACTAAATTGTTATAAGGTCATAATTTGCATTTACGTCGGTTTCTATTAGCCCCTGGATTCACCGGACCCATCACAACACTGTACGTATACTCCATATGCGTGTGCGCGATTGTGTTGTACGAGGAGAGTATAGTTGTGTATATTTGCTTCTTTGGAGAATATTCAGTATTCATACATA